AAGAAGTGGAAACAGGCAGCCTGAGGCTAGGTAGCCCAAGCAACCTGTGCCGTACTTAAGCCACCCAGACAAACTGGGCCTCTTTATTTAGTATAAGGAGACACTACACATGTATGTTTCATGACACTTCGTTGCCAGGTTACAGACAGTAAGAAGCAGTTAACAAATCTATAAGGGCTTAGTTATACTGGGCCAGGCTGTATCCCTTGGTGATAATCCCATCATGAGAAAATCCCATTATCTTTTCTAATGGAGAGAAGTCTAGCTGTAGGTGTGAGGAAGAAGGCTAAAGAACTTCTCCATAAGGAGTGTACCACCACACCCAGAGAAGGCTAAAGAACCTTTTAGATGCAGAGCAGGGATTAGACTTTGCTAATTGGGGTCAATATGTGTCTTGACTTCCATCAGATGTGTCTGTTGGAAAGCCTCTAGCAATTTCCACCCTTTGCTCTGTCTGCAGGTAGGGTCAAGGAAAGGACAAGTTACAAGGTTCTGCCAAAGCCCGAAAGGACAGGTGGTGTTTGCTCAGAGCATGTCTCCATACCTCAGGTTTTCTCTCTAAACGTGTCCCCACAGTAACCTGTACCTATTCTGAACCCCAAGAGAGTTCAGTTTCCTGGTCCTCCTGGTCAACCTGTACATGTCATGCACACATGCTCATGAACTTGACTGACTAGAAAGGGTGGTGAGTGGTATCATTGTGTGAAACCCTTTTATTTATTTATTTTTAATTTTTATGGAGAGGTTTTTGCTATAGGGCATGTGTGCTTGCCAGAAAGACACAGAGAGACAGAAAGTGAGAAATTACCCCCCAACAGGGAATGGCCATGCTGCAATCCCTTCTCCTCCATTCTCCTCTTGGGATCTTGGGCACACGCACACATGCATGCACGCACGCACGCATGCACCCGGCATGAGTTTAAGCCACCAGGTCCAGGACTCAAACAGCAGTCTACTACATGGGAGTCCAGCGACATAGCCATTACGCCAACTACTGGCCCCCATGTGAAACCCTTTTGAGGGTGCTTGTCTCTTCCTTTCTTTCCCTCCCCTAACCTTCTCTCTTATAAAATAAATTAAAAAAAATAATTAAATGTCCAAATTATGGTAGGTAAGAATAGTTATGCTTTTGATTTTGGGTTAAATTAGAATCAGTTACTATAGGGGCTGAATGGTGGCACCGTGATAATACAACACTATGAGGCTAGCCCATATGGGAAAGTTCTGGGTTCATTGTCTGAAGCCCTCCCTAAACATGCCAGGTACATGTGTGCCCATGATTCAAGACTAGCAGAAACTGGGAATGGATCAATGGTGTAAGGAGGGTGTCTCTGTCGCTTTTTCTCACTCATTAAAGAAATGAATGAACTTAAAAAAAAAAAATCAGTTACTACAAATGTTTAGTAATTTTTTTCACTTTCATATGTATTAGTGTAATAAGTCTCTTTCAGGACCCAGCAGTTGGCATGGTGGTTAGGGGCAGTGGACTTCATATGGCTGACCACAGTTCAAGTCCCAGACCTGGTGGTGCTCATTCTCTTTCTCTTTCTCTTTCTCTTTCTCTTTCTCTTCCTCTTCCTCTTCCTCTTCCTCTTCCTCTTCTTTTTCTCTTGAGCATGCTCACACTGTAGCAAATTTAAAAATAATTATGATAAATAAAAATCAATAAAAAAAAAAGTCATAGGACCAGCAGATAGTTTTAAGGGTTATGTTGCTGAACTCCCACATAGTCTACCGTGGTTTGCGTCCTGGACCTGGCAGCCTAAAACTCACACCAGGCACTTGTACATGCGTGGCCAAAATCCCAAAAGGAGAATGGAGAAGGGATTGCAGCATGGCCATCCTCCCTGGGGAGTGATTTCTTGTTTTCTGTCTGTCTCTCTGCATGTGCCCTTTAGCAAAAATGTCTCCTAGGAAAAAAGTTCCTGCAGATAAAGAACTGTGGATTATCTACTTTAAAATTCATTAAAGTATAGGTGTTTGTAATGTGTCTACCAATATTATTTTCCTAAGTCAGTTTTCAGTTAAAAGACTACGTTTTGTGTGTGTGAAGAATAAAGGCAAAGAGATACTAGATAAATGTATACAATATTCACTATAGTAAAAGACTTTAAGAAGGGCCACCTTCTGGCCTACCTGCAGTGGCAAGGCAGTAGCAGGCTGCCTTGTGATACTGAAGTCACACTGAAAGGCCTGGATTTGCATCCCAGGTTGTCTTGGACACTCTGGGCACACCTGTGATCCTGGTTGGCTAGAGGCTGGGGAATTAGACATGGTAAGTCCCTGTCATGGACACTTTTCTTGTTTCTCTCTCCCCTCTTTTTTCTTTTCTTGTTTTTATGAAATAAGTAAGTATTAAAATTTAAAAAAAAAAAAAAAAAAGGGAAGCAGCAGTTAGCGTAATGGCTATGTCGCTGGACTCCCATGTAGTCGATCGCGGTTCACGTCCCGCACCCAGTGGCTTAAAACTCACGCCGGGCGCGTGTGTGTGTGTGCCCAAGATCCCAAGAGGAGAAGGGAGGAGAAGGGATTGCGGCGTGACCATCCCCCCTGGGGGGCGATTTCTTGCTTTCTGTCTCTCTGTCTGGCGAGCGCACGCACCCTATAGCAAAAACCTCTCAAAAAAAAAATTTAAAAAAAAAAAGGAAAACCTTACTTCTTATGGAAGAAAAAAATCATGTGTGAAAGTCATTCACTGCATCATCTATAGGCAAATTACTGCAGCAAACAAATTGAAAGTAGGAGCTTACAAACAGCTCTTAAAGTATCAATGATTTACTTAATTTTATAAAAACAAGGCCTTTAGGGGACAGCAGGTGATGTAGTGGTCAAGGCACGACTCCCCCATGACCAACCATTTGTCAAGTCCCAGACTCAGCCTGTGCACATGCATGCCTATAATCCCAGAAGAGAATGGAGGAGATGGGATTGTGGTATGGCCATCCCACCTGTGTGGGGTGGGGGTGATTTCTCACTTTTTGTCTGTCTGATGAGCTCATGCACCCTATAGCAAAAATCTCTCTCTCAGAAAAAGCCATTAAATCAAGTAATATAGTATGTTTATAAATGAGATAGGGAGTGACCTAAAAAGTACATTTCCACATAATGGTTTCCTGACTATAACAAAGTTATTTGGTTTTAAAGATTTAGGGGAACTTAAAATAGCACAGCAGTATATGCAGATATTTTTGAATAGGAAACACATGGCGCAAACATACTCTTTAATTTTCTCATTCTAGGTTAAAGTTACTAAGAATGTACTTGTTTTGAAGAAACAATGTTAGAGAACATTTGTGAAATAAATGTGATTGTTAGGTAATTTTTGTTGGGGGAAAGAAAGATCATCTATATATTAACTGTCAAATTTATATGCTGCAAGCACCTGTAAATTTAGGTGGATAAGCTAGGAAATCTTACATATACATCAAGATTGCTTAAAACAGCATTGTTTACAATAAAAAAATGAACAATAACTCAAATGTTAATTGATAGTGGAATGGATAAAAGCAAACTGTGGTATAAACATACAGTACAGTACAGAGAATATTTAGCAAGAAAGAAAAGTACTAATCAATGTGAAGTACTAAATATATAAAACTGAACAAGCACACATGAATCTGGTTATATAGTAAGGGATGCTAATTATAAAATTAAAGCTAGTATCTACCACATTGGATGAGAGAAGGGTAGAGTTGGGGGAGAGGGTAAGTAGGAGTTTCAGTGTCTGGATAATGTTCTGTTCCTCAGCCTGTATAGTGGATGCATGAGTGTTTGTTTTATTATTCCTTTGCTGTACATATACATTACATAAACTCTTATGTATATGACATTTCATAATGTTTTAAAAATTAAGTCATTATAGGACAGCCTCAACTTTAGCTTTCTATTGAAAACCAGCCTTCCTTCCCTTTCTTTTTTGCTAAATTAAAAACGAATTTGGCAATAGAAATCTTAAAACTATTTTTGGAAACCTTTGAGTGTCTAGACAGTGGTATAGTAGTAAAAAATGATACTCTGTGAGGTATTCCCACATATAAAGGCACCGAGTTCAAAACCTGGGCCCTCTCGAGTACACTGTACACTTGCTTACCCTGGGCTGGCTAAAGGCTGGGGGTGGATTGGGGTGTCAAGACCCTGTTGGAGGTGCACATGCTCTCTCAATCTCTGTCTTATTTATAGAAGAAATAAATATATAAAGTCTTGATTAATATTTTTGGAAGTCTTACTAAAATAGCATTTTTTTTCTGCCTTAATTTATTAAACACAGCTACTCACCATCCTGAATATTCTCATTGACCAGTCTTAACAGAGACATATATTGGATTGTTTGGAAAGTCACGACACATTTTTGCATAGAAGAACAGAAAAATAGGTCATGACTTTCTCTACAAACTGATATTTAAGCCCTAAAATTGTGTTATAATTGAATGTTTAAAATTCCTTAGCGAAGTTTTATTTTTTGTTTTTTTTTCTTTTTCTACAACAGTGATTCTCAACTTTGTTACCCATACAAGTCACCAGAGAGGCTTTTTAAAAAAATACTTAGATTGGGCCAGCTATTGGTACAATTAAGGTGGCTGGTTCCCACATGACTGAATGCTCAGTTTGAGTCCTGTACCAACACGGGTCACATGTGCGTGCATGCCTGAAAGAGATGGAAGGGATTGCACTGGCCATCTAGGGATGGCCACTTTTCTGTTTTTACCTGGCAAGCACATGCCCTATAGCAAATTTAAAAAAGAATTATATCTGGGTCTCACCCACCAAGATTCTGATTTAATTAATCCAGTGATTCTAGCGTGCTAGAATTGAGAAACCACTGTTCTAGAAGAAAGATGTAAGAAAAGAAATTTCTTAGTTTCTATTTTGTTCCAGTAAATTAAGATAATTTATTCTGAAAAATGCATTTGAGATGGGAATTACTAGAGACGAGGTGGACTATTGTAGATCAGTTTTCTATCTAATTTAAATGTTTTAACACCTACAATTTTTTCTTTCAGATTCATTACTAAACATGGGTGCATTTTTGGATAAACCCAAAACTGAAAAACATAATGCTCACGGTGCTGGGAATGGTTTACGTTATGGCCTCAGTAGCATGCAAGGCTGGAGAGTGGAAATGGAAGATGCTCACACAGCTGTTGTAGGTATTCCTCACGGCTTGGAAGACTGGTCATTTTTTGCTGTTTATGATGGTCATGCTGGATCTCGAGTGGCAAATTACTGTTCAACACATTTATTAGAACACATCACTACCAATGAAGACTTTCGGGCAGCTGGAAAATCAGGATCTGCTCTTGAACCTTCAGTGGAAAATGTCAAGAATGGTATCAGAACTGGCTTTTTGAAAATCGATGAATACATGCGTAACTTTTCAGACCTCAGAAACGGGATGGTTCGGTTCAACTGCAGTGGGAGTTATGATTTCACCTAAGCACATATACTTTATCAACTGTGGTGATTCACGTGCCGTTCTGTATAGGAATGGACAAGTCTGCTTTTCTACCCAGGATCACAAACCTTGCAATCCAAGGGAAAAGGAGCGAATCCAAAATGCAGGAGGCAGTGTAATGATACAGCGTGTTAATGGTTCATTAGCAGTGTCTCGTGCTCTGGGGGACTATGATTACAAGTGTGTTGATGGCAAGGGCCCAACAGAACAACTTGTTTCTCCAGAGCCTGAGGTTTATGAAATTTTAAGAGCAGAAGAGGATGAATTTATCATCTTGGCTTGTGATGGGATCTGGGATGTTATGAGTAATGAGGAGCTCTGTGAATTTGTTAAATCTAGGCTTGAGGTATCTGATGACCTGGAAAATGTGTGCAATTGGGTAGTGGACACTTGTTTACATAAGGTATGTAAGTTTTTTTGTTATAATTAAAATAATGCCTTAATTTTGAAAAGGCCTGGTAAGTAAGTTAAAGCAAACTGAAGTTTTTTTTTAAAACTTCATGTTTTCATTAGGAATAACCTCTCAATTTCAAAATAGTTTCATTCCAGAAATTATACCTTTGTGTTTTCTCTCTCTCTCTCTTTCTCCTTCTCCTCCTCCTTCTCCTCCTCCTTCTCTTCTTTTAAGGAGAGACAAAGTGAGAAATCATCCCTCAGGGGGATGACCATGCTGAAATACCTTCTCCTTCATTCTCCTCTCAGGATTTTAAGCACAAACACACACACAGCGTGAGTTTAAGCCACTGGGGCCAGGACTCAAACTGCAGTCGACTATATGGGAGTCCAGTGACATAACCATTACACCATCTGCTGGTCCCAATATTGTGTTCTTTTGCCATCCTCTTTGGTGCCAGCATTCTAATTTGAAAGTTAAGTTTAATAAATTGGAGGTATTTGTTGTATGTAAGTGCTTTATGGCTTGTTGCTGTGGCATCTATACAGAATTGTGACTTTTGATTAATAGCTATCTTATGCCAGATTATTAAGCCACTTGATAAAATAGCTATGTAGCGGTATTCTGTACTATATATACTATAAGATGAAAAGCCATATAAAATATTGGAAGATATTCCAGAGTCTCACCAAAGTAAAATTTAATTTTCAAACACCCAGCAATTAAAACAAAGCAGAAATAAATATATGAAAGTTTTTTCTGGGGGCTGGCAGATGGTAGGGTGGTTAAGGGCGCTAGACTCCCACATGGCTGCTGTGGTTCAAGTCCTGGACCTGGTGACTTGCCTTCTCTCTCTCTGTGTGTCCCTCTCTCTCCTCCTCCCCTTCTCTGGTCAAATTAAAAATAAATAAATAAAGTTAAATAATTTCTTAATTTTTTTTAAAAAAGCTTTTTCCTAGTAATAAAATATAAAAGAAACTTACAGGTGAGACACTATATAAATAATATATGATTTGATAGTTTCTTTTGTAAAAGATACCAGAATTCTTTTTAAATAGATGTTTTCATTATTACTGATTAAAAACTAGAGGCTTTAATAAAATACCACCCTGTAAAGAACTCTTATGGAACACTATATTAATCTTGATACAGTAATGGGGAAAAAATTAGAATTAACAGGTAATTTGGTTTTTGATAGCATCTATATAGAATTCATTTAAGATTTATCTGGTTAGTGCCTGAAGTGTGCAAGTACACAAGGGGACTTAAAAGTGTGTAAAAGAATAGAATTAAAGTATCAGTTTGTTTTGTTGTAAAAAATTTGAGAAGCTATACATAATTTTCTCATTATATGCTTTTCTTATGAACTATTTTTTTTTTTTTTTTTTTTTTTTTTAGAGAGGAAGATTTTTGCTATAGGGCATGTGCACTCACCAGAAAGACAGAAAACTAGAAATCATCCCCCTACCCCAAGAAAGACAGAAAACTAGAAATCATTCGCCCCCCTCCAGGGGGGGATGGCTATCCTGTAATCTCTTCTCCTTCATTCTTCTCTTGGGATTTTGGGCACTCATACACACATGCCTAGTGTTAGTTTCAAGTCCAGTGACATAACCATTACACCCTCTCTTGGTCCCCCCATGAACTTCTTGAAGACCCTTTGTACTATAACTGTAAAGGTATCAAGGCTAATTTTTAGTTATATTAAGCAGAGTTGTATTTACTTATTCTGGCTAGCTTAGAACTGTTCTCTCTACCATGTAAGTTGCTGTGGAAGGTACTAACAAAGTTTCTCAAGAAGGATCTGGGTACATGATGAAATACATATTTCTTTTCCATAGTATGGAAAGAAACAACTTCAAACAAAGAAATTTAAGGACTGCTGTTACCAGCACTCAGGAAAAAAATTCCTCTTTTTTTTTTTTCCTGAAATGATTTTAATGGTAGTAGTATCTTTTGCTGATTTTTATTTTTAGTACACTATCTATTTTTTAGTACACTATCTTTTTTTTTTTTTTTTGAGAGGTTTTTGCTATAGTGTGGTGGCGCTTGCCGGACGGGGCAGTGTGTGTGCGCTCGCCAGAAAGAGACAGAAAGCAAGAAATCACCCCCCAGAGGGGATGGCCACGCCACAGTTCCATCCTCCTCCATTCTCCTCTCAGGATCTTGGGCACACACGGACATGCGCCCAGAGTGAGTTTAAGCCACCGGGTCCGGGACTCAAACTGCGGTTGACTACATGGGAGTTCAGCAACATAGCCATTATGCTAACTGCTGGTCCCAGTATACTATCTTTTTTACTTCTCTGCATGAATTAAGGACAGAAGTATTGATGGGTCATTGGGCAAATAGTAAGTGGCTCTAAATATGTCTTTCTGGGGTTGCTCCATGACTTACTGGTTAAGGAAATGGATCCCACATGACTGACTACGTGGTTTAAACCCTAGCCCTGGAGGCTTGAAAAATATACCAGGTACTTGTACATAGGAGCTCCAAATCCTGACAAGTGAGGAAATGGAGAAGGGATTGTGGGACCTTGTTCATTGTGACTGGAATGTGCTTTCACCCTCTCCTTCCCTCTTTTGAGACGGGGTGGGATGGGGTAGTGGTAGTGGTAGTCTTTCTCCTTAGACTCTAAATCAAATGATCTTGACCAGATTTTTCCCCTCACATTTTCTTCCTTCCAAATAAGGAAGAGAGAAAGACATCACTTCCAACAGGGTCTCCTTAACCCCACTACCACCGTAAGCCTCAACTAGCCTTGGTCATGGGCAAACGTGTGTTCAGCATGTATAGGGAGCTCTCAGAAAGTCAACCTTGGGCCTTCACATTTGACTTCAGCAGTGCCAAGAGTGGTGTTGCTGCTATAGCAACACAGCTGTCCTGACCTACAGCTTTTCAAGATGAAAGCAGGCATATGTGTTTTGCTTAATTAGCAAATAAAAACAGCATTTCCCCAATTATAAAAATAGTAATTGTTAGTGAAAAAAATCCATGTAATATAGAAAATATTTTTAAAAATTCAAACTTTTGTTGTGTTCTTTGTATCTTTCCTGTCTTTGCTTGACTGTGAGTGTGTATATTTTTATAAAAATGAAAACCTTTACTTGAAATTCTATAGCCTGTTTCCAACAGTATATTGTAGACTAGAGATCTTCATGTCTCTACATACTGATATGCATCATTTTTCATGACTGCATGACTGCATAGCAAGCATCCTGTTAAATGAATAATGTGGTTGTGAGGAAATAGCTAAAAATAATTCTAGATGTGTAATTTGGACAAAGGAAAGAAGTTTATATAGCAGATAAATCATACCTTCCGTACAATTGAACAATTGAAAGAATGCTAATTTTCTGGAATTTTGAGTGAGATTTAAGTGACTGTAGTGTCAAGCTTTGAGTGGTAGGTTTTATTAGTTTTAAGGGATTAAAATGCTCATGTTGATAGTGCTAAAAGATTGGAGCTCTAGAATCTCAGAAATGAGGAATAATAATAAGATGAGGTTGGGGCCGGTGATTCCTTCCATTTTAGTTGAAACTGACCATTGTAGTTCCTGAATAAAGCCGCATTCAAGTTGAAATCAGTATTGGGAAACTTACCTGGTTTGGGTTGAAACATAACAGACATTGAATTGTTTGAACCATCAGAAGATATGGAATTAAACCTTTTTTTCTTATTTTTTAACTCCATAAATTTGTTGTTCCACTTTTGTATTATAAAACCAAGGGTTAGCAATATTATAAAATAGAATATGATTTCTTTGAATTTAATCTTAAAAGACTGAATATAGGGCCAGCTAGTGACTGGATCCTACATGACCAGTTTTGCAGTTGAAGTCCTGAACCCAGTATCTTGGAGGACCTAACAGACATGTGCCTGTGCATGTCCAGAAATTCTAAGAGGAGAATGGAGAAGGGATTGCAGCGTGTCAATCTGCCCTGGGCTGCCTTTTCACTTTTCTCCCCCCCACCCCCCAAGCACATATACCCTGTAGCAAACTAAACAAAGATTGAATATAAATTTTAAAATCCATGGAAAGCACTTAGCAGTTTAGCTTAGGTAGGTATTACTCTGCTTTAAAAGGAGAAAGAGATCAGTTATTTAGTAGATATATTCCTGACAATAACTTTAAATGAAGTCTTAATAATTTCTATATTTTTCTAGCATTTTTAATACTTGTCATGCCTGAACTTTTTATAAGAACTTTTATATTAAATATTGGAAGGTTGATAATCATCAAAATCATGATGACCAGGGTTAGCACTATAGCCCAGTATTTGTAATACTTGTCATGTCTTAACTTTTTATAAGAACTTTTACATTGGGACCAGCAGTTAGCGTAATGGCTATGTCGCTGGATTTCCACGTAGTCGACCGTGGTTCGAGTCCCGGACCTGGTGGCTTAAACTCACGCCGGGCGCGTGTGCTTGCGTGCCCAAGATCCCAAGAGGAGAATGGAGGAGAAGGGATTGTCGCGTGGCTATCCCCTCTGGCGGGTGATTTCTCGCTTTCTCTCTCTCTGTCTCTCTGTCTGTCTGTCTGGTAAGCATACGTGCCCTATAGCAAAAACCTCTCAAAAAAAAAAAAAAAGAACTTTTACATTAAATCTTGGGAGGTTAATTAATAATCATCAAAATCATGATGACCAAGGTTAGCAACATAGCCCAGTATTTGAATGAGCTGGATTTCACATAGCCAACCACGTTTTAAATCCCGGCCCTAGTGGCTTGAGAAACACACTTGTCCAAAATCCAAATGAATGGACTCAAAATCCTGACAGAATGGAGAACGGAGGAGAAAGGATTGTGGCGTTAATGTGCCCCATTTGGGGATGCTTTCCGAAAGTCTCTCTGGCAAACACATGCTCTCTGGCAATTAAAAAAAAAGAAATCAAATGTTCTAAACACTTTACACATATTTTATCTCATTTAATTTTTACAACAATCCTGTGAGATAGTTAGAATCATTGTTTTTGATAATCATTCTTCAAGGTTTTATATATATAT